ACTGACCGAAAGCCCAAACGTCATTCTTGTTACTGGTGACTTGAACACTAGGGTAGGTAGGCTTGGCGCTGCTGCGGTTCAACTGGATGTTCGTCTTGGATTGGATACGAGACGCGTGGTCAACTTTTTGTTTATCAAGATTGTTCCTTTGCAGTACATCCTAGAAAAGCGAAAATCGTTTGGCTACTTGATTTTCACCAACGAACCAGCACAAACAACATTTCCAGTAGTTGACGGTGGCGAGGGTCGATCACTGCCTGTCTCTCTTGAACCACTCGTATGCAATCTTTGAATCCTTTCTCTTCCACCCTATTTTGTACATCCTCTGCAGGTCACGGTAGTAGTCAGTAACCACCCTAAGCACCCCGTAAATCAATTCAAGCGGCCTTTATCGTTCATATACTGAAGCAAGTAGAACAAGGATCTCTTGTTCGGACTGTAGATTCTCCGCATTGAGTTTGTCTATCGAAAGCAGTAATTCGTGGCACTGTTACCGTAACTGACCCCTTCTTTTCCCTTGCGACCGTGCGTCGCCAATGATTTCGAGGCTGCTGCAGCTGGACACCGGGATGGTTATTGTGTTTAGGCATCCAGTGGAGAGTCTTTTCTTGGTCTGACGTCCATTAAGGGTAGTCTCTGCGTGGTTTGTTCGGCAACGTTTTGTAGATATCGACAATGGCCCATATCTCCCAGTCTGTGTCTAGTTACGCCCCGATGGACCACAGCTTCGCCAAAGGTAGTTTGACGCTCTGGGTACTCCTTTACGACTGACCGAAAGCCCAAACGTCATTCTTGTTACTGGTGACTTGAACACTAGGGTAGGTAGGCTTGGCGCTGCTGCGGTTCAACTGGATGTTCGTCTTGGATTGGATACGAGACGCGTGGTCAACTTTTTGTTTATCAAGATTGTTCCTTTGCAGTACATCCTAGAAAAGCGAAAATCGTTTGGCTACTTGATTTTCACCAACGAACCAGCACAAACAACATTTCCAGTAGTTGACGGTGGCGAGGGTCGATCACTGCCTGTCTCTCTTGAACCACTCGTATGCAATCTGATCGTGTACTTGTCCGTTGGGGGTTTCATTGCACTTTTCAGGTTTGAGCAACAGACTCAACATGGCCTTCGAGATATCCCGGTGGTTAGGGCGCCAGCTTACGGATCGGAAGGTCCGTGGTTCGAACTCAACCTCAGCATATCGACTACTGTCTAGGCTTGGACAGCCCAGTAGTATCACAGCCTTCGTGCCTTTTTCATTTGGCATGACACTGAGAGCGATTGTTAGTAATAAAAGTACTTGGGGATTGAGTAGGTCGTGGACCCAGAAGTTGAACTAACGGACTTCCCTTATGCTGGTCCAGTGTCGGGTTATAACGACCACGGAAGAGAGACGTTAAGATGTACTTGGTATCGAACCCTGTAAATGCGGTACAACGCTGCCCGGTTCGTCCAAACTTTGGTCTCTGTCGACGCCCTGTTTCAACGGATTCGAGCGACCGGCCGAAAGAAGACAGGTGTCAGTGAAACAATACGCAAAAAAAACGGCAACTCGCAAAATCGTCGTCTTGAGCGACGGACTGAAAACAAGAGCAGTTGGGCTGTGTAGTTTGTACCTACAATACACAACATCATGCTTCAGAACGTGCAGTCTTTGATGGCTCAAGTGCGAATTCACTGACCGGAGAGTCCGTGGTTCGAACCCGACCCCTGCCTCTCGACTTTCCCTATCTGGGCTTGAGCAACTTGGCAGTATCCCAACCTTCCTTCTTCCCTAGGCACCGGAAGAGAGTTACAGCTGAACGGCTATCATATTATTATTATTATTATTATTATTATTATTNCTTTGAACCTGCACTCTGAAGCCAGATGGTAGGCCTCCGTGGAGACGTACATACCTGGGTAGTTGTATTGCTCCCATCGAAAGTGTATCTAACGAAGTCAGTGCATGAATCTCTTAAGCCCGAATCACGTTCGTCAGTTTCTATCACTTGTTGCGTCAGAAAGGCATATTACTGTGTCCGAAGGGTCGCAGTACCAAGCCGGAGCAAGAACTTCTATGTGGTTGCGAGATATTGTCTCCGTGGATAAATGATCTGAAGCGTCTCAGAACTGGCCACCGATGTATTCAAAGCGTATGGTAGGGATGGCTTGACTAATTCGCACCTTGATAAATAGAAAAGAGGCCTTCGGTTTTGCAGCACGTATAATGATTGTTAACAAGATCCAGCACCGTCCACTGAGGTGGCTCAGCTATGAAGCATCGGTGTTGAACACTGATGTCATGTTGTCGATGATGATGATGAGAATGCTGATGATGATGGGCACCGAAAGGGTTCCACGCCTGTGATCACCACCCTCCTAGTATGGGCTCGTTCGGCCCTTCTTCATCTTGACCGATTTTGGTGCGTTTTGATATTAGCCTGTTATTGGAGAAGAGGGTACAGAATACCTCTTGAAGGTGAGGCAGACACAATACCAAACCTGATCATGGCGCCAGAAACGGGTAGTTGTGTCTCTAGATGGCAGCATCGGTAGTGCAGTGGGCGCTAGGATTTCTAAAACCCTACGTTGCATTTTTTCACGCCAGGTATCTTTGGTGACGATATAAGATTAGCTTACCGGCAGATGGTAAGGCCCAAAGTGCTTCGGTATGTCCAATACCGCTTTCTGAGTGTGAAAATTAGCCACTGAATCGAAGAGGGAAGTCGGGAGCCTGTTTTCGGGTAACAGCACCATTGAAATACTGCACGTGTACCTTTGGAACACCTGGGTAATGATGCTGAAGTATGCATGAGGTGTCTCGACAACTTGAGTGGCCGCCTACTTGTTGACGTGATACGGCCGAAATTTCTCCCCCTACTCAGTCATATTTTTGGTTTATCAGATGATTTCTTTGTTGCACTCTGTTTCCTGAAGTATATTCCGGCGGGAAGGCGCAGGGTGGGAAAAACACTACCTGGAGGCGAAATCGTTCTTGGCTATGTTAATTACTGTGGAGCCATACCAACATAACGAAGTCCCCTAGCCCATGGCAATGTTGTATTGACTCACTTATACTTCAAACTTATCACATTTACTCCGGTTTTCATTTTAATTTATGGGTCTCAGTACTGCCTTCGCCTCTAACCGTTAGCGTTCAAATTATTTCATCATCACCATTGTCAGCTGCGTTAACCGCGTACTTGTCGTATAGTGGTTGTAGCTGTCACAGTTTCGTTCACCGATGATTCGAGGAGGTTAGGTATGTAGCTGCTCATTGGAGGTAATCAGATAATAAATGTAACAATAATTGATCAACTGGAGCACCCTTTCGGTGCATACATGTCATGTCACCCGAAGGCAACACGGGATGAAGTGCCGCCAGGTTGTTCAAGCCTACACAGGAGCAGCCGAAATGCTGAGGTTGGGTTTCAACCAGGAACCTTTCTGTCACTAAGTTTGTAGTGGTTAACGGCCCTAAAGAGTCTCTAATGAACAGAACAAACTATTAATGCAAGCCAGGTACGGTATCACAGAGAAAACAATCTAAGGAAACATGGACTCACGCATGAACATTGATCTCTCGAACGCCTAAGGAAAGATCGAGAGCTTTGCTGGACATTGAAAGCTCGGGAGATGGAGAGGACTTTTGCTACCGGAGACAACCGTGCCTTATCTCAACTGAGACGGTCAACTGGCCCTAGAAAACCAGTGTTCAGTGAAGCGATTAGTGAAAAAAGCGGCATTCTTTTTCAAAAAACGTCGACTGGAATGATGAGCCGAACACTTCAAAGAGCAGTTTATCTGGCCTCCTGCGACACAGCCGTTTGAGATCGAATGGGATGTAAACTTTGATTGTACGTCGAAATAAGAGATAAAGTGCGAAATATCCGTACTGAAACGTGAGAGGGCACTAGGACCAAACAGCCTGTATCCAGCCCTCTTCAATGAAGGTGGAGAAGCCCTCATGGCCTATCTAATAAAGCTTATTGGTGCGATATGGAGTGGAGAGAAAGTGCCTGCAGAGTGGGATATGTAGACAGTAATTCCTGTCTTCAAAAAGGGTACACGAACGCTGTGTGAAAATCACCGCTGTATCGGCCTATTAGTTGTGGTCTCTGGTCTTATCGTTCGAAGGTTGACTGAACACAAGGGGAGACAGATCCGTGAAAACCAAACTGGGTTCCGTCCTGGAACATCGACACTGCTTCCAGCGCCCAACATTGGTTGATTGACTTGAAAGCTGTCTTTGACCCTATGAGCCTTCAGGTACTAGGTTAGTGGCTGTGGAACAAAGGTGTGCCTCTTGAATTCTTGGCCCCCTTAAGGTGCAGTACGCCGACTCCCATGGAAGTGTGAAGGCCTACGGTCTCAGTTCACCACACCAAGTAGTGTCAGCCAAAGCTGTCTTCTTTCACCTTTCCTCTCCAGCTTCGTAACTGATATGGTTATGGAAGACTCACTCCTATCCTCCAAGGCCTGTTGGGTCGAAGTACTCCCGGGGCGTTCGTTTACATATGTCGAGCACGCAGACGACATAACTCTTCTGGGATCTGACACTGTTATAATTAAAACAACACCAAATAATCTAAATAATTCTGCCTCATGGTTTGGCATGCGCTTTTCACCTGCAAAGTCTGAAGTGCTACTGCTAGATTGGATGGGCTCGAACCCTTGGCCCATGCTTGCGGATAGGCGGCTTGAGGTAGTAGACGAGTTTTTCTACCTGGGCGGCTGTATCAGCCCCGGTGGTCTCTCAATAGATTATATTTGTATCCGGATTGGGAAGGTCAGAGCAGATTTTGTGAACCTGCATCACCTTTGGCTTAGGCCTGACATCAGCTTATCCGTCAAAGGTTGAGCATACAATGCTGCAATGGGCTCCATATTATCATGTGTGTCATAGACCTGGCCGCTGCGCGCCGAGGACGTCAAAAGACTTTCCGTGTTTGACCATCGATGTCTTCGGAGCATAGTCTGAGTCTGAGGGAAACACCGGCTCAGCTTTTCTGAAGTTCATCGAATGGTTTTTGGGAAAAACAGCTCGCCCACGATAAGTGAACTGATCACACCACAACTTACCCTGGCCTGTCCGCGTTCTCCGCTTGTCAGTCGACCCACTCTCGAAGGGCTCTTTTTGCCCAATCATAAGATTGATGAAAACTACTCAGAGCAGGTCGAGCAATGAATCTGCAACGAAGTATGAAAGCTATTACCAGCAAACTCACCTGCGTCGCTCATTGCCGTCCCCCTTAACGCAGGCTCCGAGACGGAGCGTATCAGTGGTTAGGGACGTTTTCAGACATGGCCCACTCGCGACTTCAATGGTGCTCATCCATCGAAGCTAGTACATTCAATGCATAACACTTTTCCCAATCTGTAATTAAGAGTCTACTGACACCTCTGTATTTACGCATCATTTGTATCAGCTACCACCTCCAATGCGCAACGTCTACCACATTTCCCCAAATAATCGGTGAAAGAAACTGTGGGAGTTGTAACCACTGTATGACAAGCATGCGGTTCATCCAGCTGATGGCTATTATTATGATGACGGCGACGGGAGATGGTGTTTCGGCATGCGTACCGTTCGTTCAATTGTAACATCCTTTCGGTGCCTAGCTACCATACCATCCAAAGGAAGCACGAGGGCTGGGATACTGCCAGGTCACCCAAGCCTAGACAAAAGTCGAGAAACAGAGTTCGCGTTCCAACCAGTTCCGGCCAGTAAATTCGCGTTCTGACCACTGAGCTATCTCACCCCCGGCATCTCGTCTGAAAGTTTATGATACCTCAAAGGTTTTTATGCTTACATCGTCATGCTGTCCGTTTAGCACTAAAAATACGCGACCGCATAGCGGTATCGAGCACACAAAAAGGTCTGTTTTTCGCCTTCAATCAGCCCATTAGGGCTCATATGTCGTCACTGCGAGCTCAACAGACGAGTTTGAAGCTGTTGTTTTATCCCTGGGAACTGGCACCCCACCAGAATTTACTTGGAACCTACGTACCGAAGAGCTGTCAATTTCTGGTGGGTACCGCAAAGATTTGATAGTTTAGATTGGACTTTCATTGCGCAAATTTTGTCAGCCTATTCTGTGAGTCCAAAAAGCGCTGTACACTTAGTCCATCCTTCTTACTTCTCGTCTCATAAATTTGGAAACCCAAGGTAGACATCTTGATCGAATTTGTGAAATTTTGCGATCAATATAATGCTATGTATGTGATATATATATATATATATATATATATATATATATATATACCAAGGCTTTATCTAGTTTGGTGAGTCATATCACCAGAAGGGATGTGTTACCAGCATGATAGCTCACTTTTGGGTATATCCGAGTGCTTGGTGTAACCCAATTAAAGCGGGTTAGATACTGATACTTTCCATTCACTATTCATTTTTCTGGAGCGTACATCGGGTCTATCTAGACAGTTTTACAATATGGATTTTGTGCGCTTCCCAAATCATGATGGACTTGTTTGGAGAAATTGGATGTCTGAAATAGTCCTTGGCAGTACTGATTGCCTAATTTGCTTCTCAGTCCAGTGTTCAATTGTGCGGGGTATTCTCACTAATTGAGATGCAACTCTGAAAATGTTTTTCAAACGGATTTCCTCTGAGCGAAGATGATTACTTCCCCTATAGTTCTCACATAGTGACTGTAAATTTTATCGGGCTTGTTTTTGGTTGTCATTGAAGTATCCTTTATTTTTTATCCGGTTTTCAACGTGTTGCGTGTACTCCAGACAATATTACTCGTTCTCCCTCTGCATCTTATTTCAGCGGTCGTATTTTTCAATCTGTTGCAGTTGCCTTCGCCACTCTCGCTTATGTGGGTGGTAGTCATCCTTATCCATTTAGTATGTCGTGCGTACGCGGTGGAAGCTGGTGAAGATGAGGCCATTCGCCTTATTTCTATCAATGGAGATCTACGCTTGCATGATATTGAATTCCTCGAAATGCAATCTAGTATCCTCGCTCGCCGCGCACAGATTGAACAGACAACAGGAACCCTGCTGGAACTGATTAATCGAAAACAGGTGTCACGGTCGAAGGTCTATTCCTCGGGTCCGATAAGTTATGGACAACGCGGGGCATCAGACTGGAGTTACGAAGCTTACTTAGTTACGGTAGGCTTCGTATCCTCATGTGACTCACTAACTTTCAGTCTATCAAACACATACTGGCTCGAGAACGTCAATTTTTTGACGCCTGTCATGTGCAAGATCAAGGTGGTTTATTTTCTGCTGATTGTAATTTTTTATTCAGGCCGGCTCCCTGTCGTTGCATGTTCAATGCCTGTACATCGGAAGACGCTATGTGCAGAAAAAAATTCTGAAGCAAGTCGAAATGTTTTGTTTAATCCCTTTCCAGGATTATTTGGTTAGTATTTATCCTCGACTGCATTCTGACTTTATAGTTGTTGGAAATGCCACGGATGATTTCGAAGCTAGTACGTTTATTTGTCCTGTTTAAACCCATAACGTGAAATTTTCGGCTTGTTTCAGTTAAAGCCATACTGCATTCCAACTGCGGGGAACATGAATCTGCGCAGAAGCTGGCGCTTCAGTTAACAGAAGTACCTCGTGCTGTTTCATAATAAAACATGCTTCTCTCAGAAATATCCTACCAATGCGTTCTATAAATATATACTGAGCGAGATATTGGCTCGTCGACCCAGGGTTTGATTCACGTTTTCATTCTGCCTATCATGCATTTTCTGTTTCCAGGATTCATTATACTTTGCAATCAATCAGATCGATGCTGCAATAAAACTGAGCCCATCTGTTTTGGCGTACAGAGAACATCGTTTGATGGTCAGTATTCAGTGAGGGTCTTTTTCTAGTTCGCCTACGTCCCTTATACTCACCTTTCCTTTACTGTTGCTCAGTGAGAGCATCTCACGGTGTTGAATCAATATTCAAATTCGAAGAGTGATTCGACAACCAAGTCAGTGTCTTATTTGGGTTGTGTGTAGCTCGCTGAAGCTCTCTTCCCTTCCTCTGTTAAGCAGGACGAAAAGGAATTGATGTGGGGTGTACCGAACTTGATAGTGTGACAATTTGTTGATCACATGACCTTATCAGGTTCCACAGCCACCTGATGTGTGCCCGCACGCAACAGCACAAAATAACTAAAAGCAAAATATTTAGAGCCAAAAGGTGTGGCTAGCAGCGTAGAATTTTGTCTTAACTTCTAACACAATCTAGCAAGGTTCAGGCACCTGATTTTCAGGCTCAAAATTCACACTCACTTCTAACACTAGGCGGTCGCCAACCTCACTTTTGTGCACCGTGTATGTTTGGTTCAACGCGTGTGTCGGTGTTTGTTAGAAATCTGACCACTAGGGAATATTTTCAATTGAGATTTCATTCTGTAAGTGAAACCAATCTACACTCAGATTGCATCTTCCGAAACTGTAGGGAGTTTTGGACCCACGAATTCCGGTTAGTAGTTTGAGCGCTTGACCATTCGGTCACGAGCGAGTGATCTGTTTGGTTAATTCGCTCTTCGACAGGATATAGCGCCACCCACACTTCACTCACGGAGTCCAAATGACGTGATCATGTACTACCGGAGTACAATGACGCCACATCATCAAGAGCTCTGAAAACAGGACGCCGGGTATCTCAGGTCAATTTTTGGAGGTCCGGTCTAATGGGGTCGTTTGGGGGCGCCCATGTACCTCATCGTACCACAAGGCTGCTCCGGACCCGAGTCCTACACCACATCTAAACGCTCATGTGTTTACGTGGACTTCCTGCTCTTTCTATGCGCATCAAACAGCTTCTGTTTGTTTCGGTGAACTGTCCAACATAGTAACATTGGTGAGAAACAATCCCGGTACAAGTTGGCGTCATTTTTATGCACTGCTATCCTCGGGAGTATCCACTGTTCCACGTGCATGCTGATACGGCATGTATTAAAGCAGCGCGCTTCAGGAACTCACAGTTTTCACATGAAGTTTTTTCATAAAGTTTATAATAGTGTCTTTCCACAGGCGGACACCGGTAATAGTCGTTCACCCGCCCAGCTGCCATGCCATCCGAAGGAAGCACGCGGGATGATATGCCACCAGACTACCAAGTCCTAGAAATTGATAATGGGTTGAGCCGAACCACGGAATGTAGCAGTAGCTTTGCATCCAAGCACTTAGCGATGATTGGAAATTGCAATTCGCAGGATGGTCTGAGTGTGTCCAATGTGGCACACTAATTAGATGGAGCAAAAACTTTTCCGACGGCTGATTTCGTGAACGAGTCCTCTGATAAGCTATTACCGAAATTCGCGGGAGAGGTGGCTCAGATGGTTAGAGCGCGAAGTTACTGACCGGAAGGTCCGTGGTTCGAACCCGACCTCTGCCTCTCGACTTCCCATGTCTAGGCTTGGGCAACCTAGCAGCATCCCAGCCCTCGTGCTTCCTTCGGGTAGCATAGCAGCTAGGCACCGGAAGGGTGTTATTGCTGAACGACTTTTTTAGACGACCGAGACTTTACCCATCCCCTTCACCTGATCGAAGACCATCTTCTTCTATGAAGCCAACTCATTTACCACGCTTTACGAACCTTTACACATGTTTGTTTCGTTAGGTACACAGTTATCTACCACCTGGTTTGGAAGTTCGTCGCTCTCACCTCCAATCAGCTTTAATCTTTGAAACTGTCGGCATGAACACTCTTGACAGTATGATTCGCTTTACGAAACTGAATACTGTCCCATTGTATATCATTGATCCAGAGTTGCACGTCTGTGGAACTGCTTGGTCACTTAAGCCCACACAGCGAGATTGTTAACACTAGCCACGGGTCATCAGGGTAGTTCAACTTTTTTGGGACCATATTCTGATCGGCGAACTACTGGAGTTTTGCATGTGACACGGCGCCACAAGGCTCACTCAAGCACTGGATATCAGACCGAACAGTGGCACTGCTTAAATTTCGGAGGAATATCTCCGCCAGTCCCGAACATAACTTCTCCTGACGAACTATCAGACGTCAAATGAAAGTGAGCGTGAGCACCGATCGTGAAGTCTGGTGAACTCGGAAGGCTAAGGAAATGGAAAAGACCCAGGAAGATTGTTTCAGTTGATTAGGGCGACCGGCCCCCGAAAACCGCCTGTTAGCGAAACCATTGACTTAAAGTAGGGAGCATACCTATCTCCTCTGAACAACTAAGCTGAGCTGTTTATTCCTTATCCGGCTGGTGGATGATGACTGGTGGACGAGAATTTCGGGGACGGTCTATTGTCCCCTCCATGTAATGATGAATAGATCCCACTTTGACTATTTCTGTCTACACTTTCTTGCATTTGTCATTTTTCAGTATATGGTTCTGAACGAAATTATTCCTGTGATAGCAGTGTCTCTCGACCTGACTGAAGTGTTGTCACTTCTTCATTCTTAATCTTCTGCGACCAGCTTCTTCTACGTGTTCAACGCAGCAAGGCAACGTTAGACGATGCGAGCTGGATTCGCAAGAAGGCGGAACACCATTTGAAGGACATTTATTGTAGTTACTGTGCGAGGAATCGTGTCCGAAAACCGGTTGGCTTGGTATCTTGGAGACCGTGGTTTGTTCTTGGTCTATTCGATTTGATCAGTCTGAATGGCACCCAAGCCGAACGGGACTTCACGATAGCCCTGGATCTCGCTTCCGAAGTTGGGTCTGGCGGGGGTTTTCCAATATCAGATTCGGTGTCTCACATGTTGAGACATTTGAAGGCGATTGCACAACACCACAATAACGAGTTTCAAGTAAATAGTACCTTGCTTCCTAATTGCGAGTGACTTTAAGTTCGCACTTTTTTTCTCTATGTGTATGCCGCTCTGTTATTTTGCCGTTTCCACCATCGTAACCTAGTTAGGAAATCTTCCTAAACTGCATACCCGCACCTTTCTCAATTAATGTGTCCCAGTACCCTTCGTGTCATATCCGCGTATGGTAGCTGCACTTCGCTGACTAGAAGGGCAACCGGATGCAAGTTTATCTACTGGATGGTCAGTTGCTCTGTAAGCTCTGAGTTCCACCCTCTCCAAGGATTCTTGCGATGCGCACTGTTGATGATTCGCAAAAAATGAAGAAAACGCAGCAATTCAATGATTTGTGGCCTTCTTACATAGACTCGAGCTTCATACACTTGGCTAGTAAGTCGTTCCTGCTTTAATAAGAGTAACGGTCTACGCAGCATAACATTCAGTTACCATCTTTTGCAGCAGTGACGACGACAAGCCAAACTTGTACGTCATACTTAGCTCCGTGCACGTTAGGTATGCAGTTGTCACTTGGAGTTATCACCGGAAGAGACCCAGCGAAAGATATTGTAGTATAGATGGCTCAGTGGCTAGAGCACGAATTTACCGACCGGAAGGTCCGTGGTTCGAACCCGACCTCTGTTTCTCCACTTCTGGTGTCTAGGCTTGGGCAACCTGGCAGTATCCGAGCCCTTCGTGCTACCTCGGGTGGTATAGAAGCTAGGCACCGAAAGGGTGTTACAGCTGCATTGCTCAACATAAATGTTGTTGCTTTACAGGGCAGTGGCGGATGACTTATCGATTGCAGACTGTAAGCTGGTTTGTACGACTGAGATGTTATCTTTACGAGCCAGGGATCAGCAGTATTCTCAGGTCTTTGGTCATCTAGTTATCAGGACTGTAATCGGTGAGGTCTGTCATAAGCGAATTCCCAATGAGATGATAAGAAAATATGTTTGGTGGAACAGCATCCACTTTTGAGTTGAGCACGCCTGATCTCATTAGGCGCTATGCATCTGTCGTGTTTTACGCTTATCAGTTTCTTGTCCACCGAGAACTGTTGATTTCAATGCAAAATTCCTTGGAGAACAGACAAATTGACAGGGGAAAATAAAAGAGGTTATGAATATACTACTCATGGATAGTACTTATGAATGGTCCGGATGTTGTTGGTATAAAACCCCATTTCAAGATGGGTCTTGCGTGCCCCGCCCAGCACTAAGCCGGAGACGCTAAAGTGGCTGTGTACCGTTACCGATGGCATTCTTGCTCTCAGTTTCTGTCCTTTTGTCTTTCTTACTCATCACGTGGCTTTATTGTATTGACTGACATGGTTGCACGGCAGTTATTTGCCATTGTTCCACATTTCCGTCGTTGTCCGTGCTTATGTTGACGGCGAATGAAATCATCACGTGTATTGTATTGACTGACATGGTTGCACGGCAGTTATTTGCCATTGTTCCACATTTCCGTCGTTGTCCGTGCTTATGTTGACTGACGATGAAACCTAAATATATAAATATAAATATAATATATAATATATAATCAGTCCCGAACATAACTTCTCCTGACGAACTATCAGACGTCAAATGAAAGTGAGCGTGAGCACCGATCGTGAAGTCTGGTGAACTCGGAAGGCTAAGGAAATGGAAAAGACCCAGGAAGATTGTTTCAGTTGATTAGGGCGACCGGCCCCCGAAAACCGCCTGTTAGCGAAACCATTGACTTAAAGTAGGGAGCATACCTATCTCCTCTGAACAACTAAGCTGAGCTGTTTATTCCTTATCCGGCTGGTGGATGATGACTGGTGGACGAGAATTTCGGGGACGGTCTATTGTCCCCTCCATGTAATGATGAATAGATCCCACTTTGACTATTTCTGTCTACACTTTCTTGCATTTGTCATTTTTCAGTATATGGTTCTGAACGAAATTATTCCTGTGATAGCAGTGTCTCTCGACCTGACTGAAGTGTTGTCACTTCTTCATTCTTAATCTTCTGCGACCAGCTTCTTCTACGTGTTCAACGCAGCAAGGCAACGTTAGACGATGCGAGCTGGATTCGCAAGAAGGCGGAACACCATTTGAAGGACATTTATTGTAGTTACTGTGCGAGGAATCGTGTCCGAAAACCGGTTGGCTTGGTATCTTGGAGACCGTGGTTTGTTCTTGGTCTATTCGATTTGATCAGTCTGAATGGCACCCAAGCCGAACGGGACTTCACGATAGCCCTGGATCTCGCTTCCGAAGTTGGGTCTGGCGGGGGTTTTCCAATATCAGATTCGGTGTCTCACATGTTGAGACATTTGAAGGCGATTGCACAACACCACAATAACGAGTTTCAAGTAAATAGTACCTTGCTTCCTAATTGCGAGTGACTTTAAGTTCGCACTTTTTTTCTCTATGTGTATGCCGCTCTGTTATTTTGCCGTTTCCACCATCGTAACCTAGTTAGGAAATCTTCCTAAACTGCATACCCGCACCTTTCTCAATTAATGTGTCCCAGTACCCTTCGTGTCATATCCGCGTATGGTAGCTGCACTTCGCTGACTAGAAGGGCAACCGGATGCAAGTTTATCTACTGGATGGTCAGTTGCTCTGTAAGCTCTGAGTTCCACCCTCTCCAAGGATTCTTGCGATGCGCACTGTTGATGATTCGCAAAAAATGAAGAAAACGCAGCAATTCAATGATTTGTGGCCTTCTTACATAGACTCGAGCTTCATACACTTGGCTAGTAAGTCGTTCCTGCTTTAATAAGAGTAACGGTCTACGCAGCATAACATTCAGTTACCATCTTTTGCAGCAGTGACGACGACAAGCCAAACTTGTACGTCATACTTAGCTCCGTGCACGTTAGGTATGCAGTTGTCACTTGGAGTTATCACCGGAAGAGACCCAGCGAAAGATATTGTAGTATAGATGGCTCAGTGGCTAGAGCACGAATTTACCGACCGGAAGGTCCGTGGTTCGAACCCGACCTCTGTTTCTCGACTTCCGGTGTCTAGGCTTGGGCAACCTGGCAGTATCCGAGCCCTCGTGCTACCTTCGGGTGGTATAGAAGCTAGGCACCGAAAGGGTGTTACAGCTGCATTGCTCAACATAAATGTTGTTGCTTTACAGGGCAGTGGCGGATGACTTATCGATTGCAGACTGTAAGCTGGTTTGTACGACTGAGATGTTATCTTTACGAGCCAGGGATCAGCAGTATTCTCAGGTCTTTGGTCATCTAGTTATCAGGACTGTAATCGGTGAGGTCTGTCATAAGCGAATTCCCAATGAGATGATAAGAAAATATGTTTGGTGGAACAGCATCTACTTTTGAGTTGAGCACGCCTGATCTCATTAGGCGCTATGCATCTGTCGTGTTTTACGCTTATCAGTTTCTTGTCCACCGAGAACTGTTGATTTCAATGCAAAATTCCTTGGAGAACAGACAAATTGACAGGGGAAAATAAAAGAGGTTATGAATATACTACTCATGGATAGTACTTATGAATGGTCCGGATGTTGTTGGTATAAAACCCCATTTCAAGATGGGTCTTGCGTGCCCCGCCCAGCACTAAGCCGGAGACGCTAAAGTGGCTGTGTACCGTTACCGATGGCATTCTTGCTCTCAGTTTCTGTCCTTTTGTCTTTCTTACTCATCACGTGGCTTTATTGTATTGACTGACATGGTTGCACGGCAGTTATTTGCCATTGTTCCACATTTCCGTCGTTGTCCGTGCTTATGTTGACGGCGAATGAAACCTAAATATATAAACATAAATATAATATATAACATATAATAATATATATTAGTATTAATATAAATATATCAATTCAATTTTTCGTCAAAGGCTGACCTCCTACTCAGGGAACTTTCTGGTTTCAACGTTCCGCAGGACTCGCACTCCCCATTATTTAGAAAAAAAACTGACAACCATGAAAGCTATCCTCCGACTGGTTACCCCGCTCCCCAAACAGTTCCCTCATCTTAAATGCCTAGTCCGTCAGAAGCCGCGAATTGGAATGCCACAGTCTCATCAAAATCCGTGTGGTTTTCAGTTTACCTGACATTTAGCTAGATACATCAACCCTACCTTGTGATTACTCGAACCTGTCGTTTTTAGAGCGCGTGTGGGAAATCCGCCAACATTGTAAAATTTTTATGGACCTGAAAACTCCGTAATGGAATATATCGTGGGCAACCGTTTTCTAGGATTTCTACAATCAGTTGTTTCCCTTTAAGACTTGAGTTTAAAATTTCCAGAATTAAGCACTCATTTCAAATTACACATAGTGTCACGGTGTGGTAAAAAATTCATTTACAGACCCCAGGGATTTCCCTGTTAACTACGATGTGAGTGCCATTCAGTATTGTGTTGAACATTTCTTATTACTGTGCTGTGGTTACTCTGTTCACCCTTTTCCAAATCTTACTCTGCAGGATGCTATGGAAACTGCCATCCTGAACGCACATGCGAATCCGTCTGCACTTGATGCAGTACTGCTAATTTCGGAAACTCTGGCGTAAGCTATTTTAACTCACGTGTGGTCACATCAATTCACTATGATGCCACGCAACTGTATTACAGTAATTCTACCTCTTTTGAGTAGTTTCCTTCTAATGTATTTGACTCGCTTTGCTCGACTCACCTCACCTATATTTTCACTCTCAGGGAAGGTACGAATCATAATAATGTCACGTACACCGATTCAGCAACAGGGTAGGGACTGGTTACGCATGTTGCGAGTTTTCTGTCGAAGATAGGCGGATCGTGCAAATATGCGTGTTGGTCCCACCCGAAGGCGAAAAGGGCCTTAACCCAACAAAACTATCAGTCCTTTAGAGGAGCACTCACGGACCTGCGAGAAAATACTGCGTTTTGCGCTTTTTGAATTGTGTTCGTCTGTGGCGATGGTCTCCTAAGGCAACACTACACTTAGTCTACAGTTATGAGTTCATATCCCCGATGTAGCCCACAAGATTTGTGATGGTGGTGATGGTAGGGCATTCGTCCGGTGCTAATTGTTGCTCGCGGTGCACTGCTTTCGACGGTGTCATTTCAGTGGTTGTATAATTTTCCGTATCTGAGTGGCTGCTTTGTCCTCAGTTTCTCATGGCAAGCTCAAAATTGCTCAGTGGTTGAGGCGCGAAATCACTGACCCGACCGTCCGTGGTTCGAACCCAACAAAGGGCATCTCGACTGCTCACTTCTAGGCTTGAGTAACCTGGCAGTACCTCAACCTCGTGCGTCCTTTGGCAGCTAGGCACCGGAAGGGTGTTACAGCCAAACTACTATCATACTAATGTATTATTCTGAGGATACTTCGGTGTACCAAAATGGTTCCCCTCATTTGATGAAAATAGATATCTGTCTCCATGTCAGCTACGAACTTGTAGGTTCTTCCTTGGATGAAATTTCCGGCAGTGATCGTCGAAGTTTTATTCCACCGCAGAGACTCAATCACACAGGACTGGTCGATTATCGTCAGTTATTTTGCACCTTTCCTATCATATAATTACTACACATACTGTCTACAATGGTTTAACGCTGAACTGATATAGTTTGCAAGACTTAAATAACTTCATTGCAGCAAGGTACTTACTATGTCCTGATAAAGTCAGAGAGTTCAGGATACCCATTGCGGCCGTAGGCTGGTCTGGTCACTACCTCCTCCTTATTCCGAGTAAAAAGTGCCTATCGAACGAATTCGCTTGGAAGAGTACACGAAACGAAGGCTTTTTGCATTATCTGTTAACCCTCTTTTCGGCTCTTAACGAACCATTTTCAAGAACTCCAAAACGCCGATTGTATGCGCACATAGACACCTAAAAGACAACTCAACTTAAGTATACTTCAACAACGGGTCAGTTGTTTGAGCTAAGGGAATTACAATGCAGTGGAAGCTTCAGAAATTGACAAAAAGCTATCTCTTCTAGGGGCTAATACCTCCAGTGTTCGCTACATCTCAGCTTTAAGTGGTATTAGCAGTGAGCGATCTTGTAAAGATGCTCTTGGACTGAGGTCGAGATAGCTCAGTGTTTAATGCGCGATACTCACCGGTAGACCCATGTTTCGACCCAACCTGTGCATCTCGACTGCTGTTGTCTAGGCTCGACCAACCTGGCAATAAGTTAGCCCTCCTGTTTCCCTCGGGTAACGTGGACGCTATTCACGGAAAGGATGTTACAGTTGAAGGATTATTATTGTTTTTACTATTATTACTGTTACTAAGCGGTGTTCGACTGGTCGTTTTGTACACCACCAAACGAGAAGGAGTCAGTCATAGATTGGTCGTGGTCTGCAGTTATTCTCCTTTTGGATCTTAGAATTTATCAGAGTTGGGATTGATTTTTTTCTGTTACAGGCGTGCCTCACACTATGAACGCTCACTCAGTATGCTCAATCTTGCTCTCCCTCTAATGGACGCTTATTCCGCGACTCCTCCCGGTGTAGCTTTTATCGAGATTATCACTGACGCCCCCACGATCAAGCGCATGTCACTACAACTGCGAGCAACTGTTCACTATCGTTTGGGGGACATTTTGGAGGCCGAATCTGATGCACAGGTACTTCGTTTACCTCGTTCACGGTAGCTCTCAACTCCCTCAGTTACCTTGGTATGAGTGCTCCGTTGTTAAAAGTTTCCGGATTTCGGAAGGCCACCCCCTTGTAGGGTAGCTTTTGGGTTGCATTAGGTGTGAACCTAAGTCTGGCCAACTGTTCATTTATCAGATACTTGACAACTGATATGTGGACAGAGTATTTTACCTGACGAGTCATTGATTCCCGTGTACGACCTGTCAATTATCAAGTCATGACCGCACGGACTCGTGATGCTTTCAGAGGCGAGCCATTGCGAAATCGTCTATGGTTTACAGTTCCAAAACATGATAATTAAGAGAGTATTCGATGGGAGGTAAGTAAACGGAACGGTACTCAGTTGTCGAAGCCCTTTAACTGAACTTGCCTTTTACGGCTTGATAACAGCTAACTATGCATCAGTGCATTAGACTTCGGTAGGTGCTTTCCGTTAGCTTGTCCATAGTGTGAAAGCAAAATTATTAGGGTCGTTGATCTGCTGGTCGTAGCTCGCACCAGTGCGCTAGAAAACCCATTATAGACCGGTACCTAGTGGTTCTGAGCCTAGTTCACACCATGCACCCCTTCAGGTACATCTCGAATAGTAATTCTCCTCTCAAATTTTGCCGGTGTGGAACGAATATTTCAGAGAGCTACTCATAAGTGGTAAGTGGAAATAACGCGGGTCCTTCAAAGGGATATTTCGCTACTCAAGATTGGTCAAGTGTTATTCTCAGCTTGTCACTATCTTCGTGGGGGATTCGATATGCATCGAGATGAAGGCAGTACGTGGTTGATCCCGAAAAGCAATCGATCACTTGCCTAGTGTTGACTGGGATTCACCAAGTGAATGCAGCTACATCAGTCGCGCGTCACTTCAGTTAACCGTTTTACTGTTTTTTACCGCCGGTTTTTGTTGTTTTAACATTACGAACCTTATTCAAAAGCAATCCAGAGGAAGAATTTTCATCGGCCTCATAGTCTAACGTATATTAAGGGAGGTAAACCTCAATAATGACACTTTGAAAGGGGTTGATCTTCGGAAGGACTTTCAAACTCGGCTAGTTCCATGAAACGCGTACAAGTATTCGAAAATGTGCGACGCATTTCGGTCTGTCCTTAAATTCGCATTGTTTCTTCGCTTTAATTCGCAACCAACCTGAAGACAGTACATGGGTGCAAATGAAAACACTGCGCGTTCACTAGCTCTGGTGATAACAGCTGCACTTCAGAGAATTGGGTTCTGTAATAAACCAGAGGATGCGGAAAAAATTAACCACAATGCAGTGGAACTGATATAGTAACTAGGACCGCTATACTACCTGCATGTGGTTCACAATGAAAGGCTTCGATGTTGCTCAATCCAGTCGACGGTTCAGTTGGCTACTTGGTAGCAGATTTACGTTTTCTTGCACCTCCTTCACTTCGAGGACGATAAATGGCATAGCATTAACAAGTGCACCTATTAGGACAAAATCAGAGTTTCAGCACACAGTAATCACATAAACATTACATTGGAAAAGCACACTCGAGTGGACCTTGGTTTGAATAAACAAGAGAGACCTACAATAAGGTTAGGGTTAACTGGTTTGGCAACACATGAAATGGTCCGCCAAATAACATCCAGCAGTAAAATTATTTACGATGGCTACATGGCGTACGATTCGTCGGCCAGGCTCGTATGGAGATGAACACTCTCAGCTGCATAAGAAGCAGAACGTGCAACCTATTGTGCTATTCAAGTTGGTGGCAAATTTTGGGGAGTGGTCATATTTTGGATGACTGAAGGATATTGTCTCTTTTCCGAATACCGTGCATGGCCGTTTGGTCACATTTAAGGGACCGGGTAGTTGGTAACATGAGGCTGGTCGAACCAGAAGAATACCTAATCCAGTCGGATAGCTCAGCCATCTGTGAGCAACTTCGATTATTCCAGCAGCCTGTCACCATCGCTAGCACGCACTTCCACCATCGATTCGCTTCTTTTCGCCTTTGCATGGACAAGACTTCTTCGTTCCAATTCGATTGATAACCTTTTCTCAATCGTCGCTGATCCTCTGCTTTTCCATTGATTTCTCTTGCACAGGCCTGTCTGGAACTGATGCCACTGGATGCGCTCTGCAGCTACGTGAAAACTCTATGCATGCTTGTTACTGGTCGTTTTGTGGATGCAGTGAAATCTTCAGCCCCGGTAAGCTGTGAACTGTCAACAGATCTGAGGTTTCACAATGTTCTTTACTAAGGCAGTGAGACAGTCGGTGGTAGATTCAACCATTTTCTGTCGGCCGCCAAACGTCCAACTGTGAGTCTCATCACGTGATTACAGGGGTTACGTGAGCGAGGCGTCACTTCCTGCGTACGTGATGATTAGCATTCTGCAACCTGGTGTCTGAGTGTCTCTTGTCCATCTGCAAAGATACTGTTCCTCCACTTTCTCTATTAACTCTTCACCTTGGATACTTTTTGCCAATTTTTCACTATGCTTTCCTATCTGTTGGGGATATTTTAAGGGAAAGTGCACTGCCACCAATGTTTGAATGCACTACTTTTGTAGTTACCCCTGTCAGTTGACAACGAGTCTACTTAGGATCTGAAAAACTGTAATAGGTGGTGCTATATTTTTTCTGACCATAGCCCTACAATAGGTCAATCGCACTTTGTTGTGGTTCTCGCCTGTGACCGAGTCATTTGCGTAGGCTGTTAAAGCGCTCCCGTGCCGGCGTTTCTCTAGTCTAAGTTCTAGCTTTACATAACCGAGTTACCAAAGCCGTTTAATGGAGCGTAGCACAGTTACATAGGGTCGTATTTGTTTGCCTCTAGTAGGACTGCTCGCTTTTCAAGGTCTCTCTCACTCACTACGGAAGAGCACACCTAGTGCCGAACACCTTCGATTTCAATGGACACTGCATGTGAAACGATTATTGATGACCAACTCCTGGATGGAACTAACAAGTGAAAGGTCATAGATTCCAATTATATCATTGTAGAGCCCTGAAAGCCCTACTCTCGACCTTGAGTATCTCTATCCGATAAGCAATGCCCTTGGTGTGCTGGGGCATCAATTCAAACCGAAGCAATGTTGGTCGTGAAGAAAGGAAACATCATTTTTTCTAAGTTTTATTAATAGGAAATCGAAAGTTTGCTTGAAGTACTGTATTTGAAACGTTGGTAACATATGAAATAAGGAACTGTCCTATTACACGGTTTCACATGCTATCGACTTGAGCGACTAGATGTGTATTTTTCTAACTGGTGAGAGCCACCATAACCTGTCAAATTTCCGGAAACTTGAATTGGGCGCTGCNGAAACATCATTTTTTCTAAGTTTTATTAATAGGAAATCGAAAGTTTGCTTGAAGTACTGTATTTGAAACGTTGGTAACATATGAAATAAGGAACTGTCCTATTACACGGTTTCACATGCTATCGACTTGAGCGACTAGATGTGTATTTTTCTAACTGGTGAGAGCCACCATAACCTGTCAAATTTCCGGAAACTTGAATGGGGCGCTGCTGACCCTTGTCCAGTGCTGAACGGGGAAATTCCATCGTGAGTCTTTCGGACCACCAACTGTTGACCGACACTTTCAGGGATATTTGCTCCAAAAAACGTTGTACACAATCCCACTCAGCAGAAAGGTACCGCCAGAATAAATGACAACATGAAGGAATGGGCGAGGAAGTTCACTAAGACGGAAACTTGAATAAAGTTACGGTAGAGGTTGCAAGGTAATCTGATGGAAGGTCAAAAAAGAAGGAATTCGGGCATCACTGCGATCGCCGTCAGGAACCTGGGTTGAAAAACCGACAGCTTCAGTACGAGATACGGCGACTGAAATTTTATCGGCCGTGAAACCTGTTGCGGAAAACTCTTCGACCGTCATAAACGAGAGATTTATCTGGATTCGGTTGAATCCTCGTCAGAACCAAATTGGTATACAAACGAGAGTATCCGGTAAATTCCTCGTTATTCTAATCAGGTTCAGCCCGCCTCTCTTGTGGAGCTTATAAGCGATCGATGATAGGAGAAATAACATCACCGATTCTTATCCGGTATACAAATAGATTTCTGTCTGCCGAATGACAGTTATGGAGTCTTACTCTAGTTATTATTTGGATTCGCCTTCGTCATCTGACAGGATTTCTCCCTTTACACGGTTAATAATTATCATTCTTTTGATAGGTCCTAAGTCGATGGTTTGACTTCAAGGTGCGCAAATCCCCCGAATTTATTCAACTCAGTTACATCAAAGGTAAGGTTCATGTAATATATCCTTCGTGTAATTGTCTTTTCCATCGGCTTTCATACAGTTCGCGTTAAGGTGAGCAGAATATTCATAGGTTTTCCTAGGTCAACATACTGGTTGAAGAGCTTCTAGTCATAAGTCTTGGATAAAAGGCGCACACTGGAGTTTCAATTAAATAAACATTCAGGTCCAGGGTCATACTTGATTAACCAAATAAGTCACATCCGTAAATCAGTAGCTGCTTTGCCTCAGACGCTGTAGGTTGTTGCGAGCACCAACTGAATGTGCTGTATCAGGTCATGTTTCAGTTGGTACGATATTCAAGATACCGCGATGCATTGCATGGACGTAATACACTGCTCATAAGGTTGCTGAGAGCCCGCGGCCGGTTTTGCCCTTCTTGGGGCTCCCCTGCATATATCCACCCACGGTTGTCCCCTCGTCAGTGAACGTTAGAAACAGTGATCACAGTCTGGTGAACACGACGCACAATTTTCCGGGTAGTGCTGGATAACCAAAATGCTCAATCTTGTGTCGTAACGTAAGCGGCGTAACACGTTATGTAGATATGTGCGTCCGCCGGCGCAAATTTTATCCACCACGACACAGTATGATTCGGGGGCCTATAGAACACCCATTCAAAATGGACATGTTTTCAAATTGAGATATCACGCGTTGATTTGGCCACTGTGACCATCGTTTCAGTAGCTTCACAACCATCGGTACGTCTCTTGACAAGGGCCTAGTGCTAGGATGATTTCTTGAAGTGTTGTATTTACCTGTCGCTTCGAGTAACTACTAAGTGACACTTTCCGCCGGTCTTTGTATCAAACAGAACTATGATCGCGATACAATGTGCGTCTTCAAGTGGCTAACAATGCTTGATCCTGTTTCATCGTAGTTGATACATTTCATGATGCATTCTGTGGTCTGATCCCGCTTCCTAGCTATTAGTCTCACCTGTATTAGGTTCACTTGGTTGTTCGCGCAACAGGAACTAGTCTGTTTCTTGCATTTGCAAGGCAGTTCATTTTTTAAAAACTGGATTCTCTTCGATCTGCTAGGTGCTTCCACCCAGCTGAGGAATAATCATGATATCGTGCTTTTCGCTTATACCTTTGGAAACTGTATGGACATATTTTAACTCAGTCTCAGCGGAAACCTCTGTTACCTCATCCTTTTCTGATTATGCAAATGAGCTATTACGAACACTTGGGTATCTCTCGAATGGGTTAACCCCCCCCCCCCCAGGTTGTGATTCGCAGCAAGTGGGACAGCAATTGTTACGTGGTTCGAGTGTTTGTGACGCGTGATGTAGTGGGTGATCGCTTCGCTACCAACCGGCGTAGAGCCCAACTCTACAGATGTCGTATTTTTTTCCATAATGCATCCAGTATACGTGGCGAGCCCTATATGTGCTATCTTGGCCGTCAAGCCCACTAGTCAACGCCAGTAAGCCGTACCGGAGATAACTAACAAGCTGTAGTTTGGTCTTCAAATATCCTGTGTTATTCTGGTTGGATGATGTAGTGGTGATCGCTACAAAACCAACCGGCGTAGAGCCCAACTCTACAGATGTCGTATTTTTTTCCATAATGCATCCAGTATACGTGGCGAGCCCTATATGTGCTATCTTGGCCGTCAAGCCCACTAGTCAACGCCAGTAAGCCGTACCGGAGATAACTAACAAGCTGTAGTTTGGTCTTCAAATATCCTGTGTTATTCTGGTTGGATGGGCATTAATATCTGTACTAAATGACGGCAGCTTTCTCTGACTGTGAAGTGGAAGTAGTCCTCTTTGGGGTACAGTAGGATTGAAGTTGTCAATATTTTTCCCATCAATCCGATAGCGAACTTCGCGAGACCTGGTGAACTTGTTCCCTATAGAGGAGGGCTTCCATATTCGGAGGTGGACACATTGTGGGATCACTTTATTAGACTTGTGACAGTCTCAGCCATCGGTCAATTTTCCAGCTGAGCAGATTTTCATCCCACGTTATGACTATCAACGTCAACTAAATTACCGCCGTCTACATTCCACCCATTACTTGCATTCTGGACTGAATCAAAGGAATGTTAGCATTAAATTGTGACAGATTTTCAGACGCGACAAATAACTCAATAAATCGACAACAGTTATATTGTGCCAGTCCACGGTTTAATTTCGGTTAATGTATCTAGCTAATATTTTGGTGGGTCAAACCATACCACCATTGTAGTGCGCCACATTCAACTAACGTTTGTGAAAAGAAGATATATCGTTGCCAGAAATGGAATCAAAGCTCACATTGAGAATGTCATTTCAGGTATGTAACAAACAAGGCCGTACGATTAGTTGTGCACTGAAAGCAGACACTAATATCTTAGGCTACACCAGTTTCTCTGGTCCACAATTTTGCCGTTTTGTTTTCTTCTTATGCATAAGCTAGCCTCATCACATGAGGCCGTGGTTTTTTATTCATCCTCGCGAACAACGTAGTCTGCACCTCTGGACTTCATTTGGTTTAGGTTTTCGTTGACTGCTCTTAAATGTTTTCAACCAATTGGAAAAAGTTTGGAACCGATTGAGAAGTTTCAGAAGGGCTTGTTAAAGAATCTCTTAAATGTTTCTCTGACACAGAATGGACGCGATATCTACACCAGCGGGTCACACGTTCCATGGGCAACTTTCACTGGTTGAATGATCTGTCAGATCTTTTCAAACAATCATGGATCCAGAGCACCCCTCTGGAAGCTTTGGTGAGTTGCTTAGCATAACAGATATGGAGCTTCCATTGAGTGATTTGATGTGGCCGTCAGAATGTAAGGCACGTCAGTATTTCCCTCTGCCTTCGATTGCTGCTTTTGATTCATGAGTATGAATTACTACCGCCCTCATTTTTCGATCGCAATACCCTGCTTATAAGAAACCTGCTACGGTTCTGTCACGCAGCGAGCAAACAATATGATAATGCGCATTGTGGCAATATTCTATCCCCAGCTATGTTGCTTGATCCAGACTCCTAGCACGGCGAATAGTAAGAAGACGAAAACCTCGGACACAAACTTTAATAATCCAACAACACACGATCAACAGGCGATGCCCGGAGCTTCCGAACCCAAGTCAGTGGAAAGAAATGGTATCCTGTACGTGGTCGGATTTAAATTTTCTTGGAGTATCAATAGGCCATTGATTTTTCATAGTTTGACCTTGAAGATGCCAGGAGTTCGCTAGTACACATAAAAACACAGCGTTTTCTGGGGATATTGATATCCCCAACACCACCTCTTGGGAAAAGTCAGTAACGTACTCGACGGGGGTTGACCTGGATACGCTCCGGCTGGCGGCGGCGTCGGTCTGTCCACCGCCTGGGAAGAAGTGTTGGATCAAATACTGAGCTGCCGGTCACACTCTCCTCTTTCGAAGCTGTCTCAG